GCACCTTGACCCCAAGGGACTGTGGCCCAGGTGGTGCCTCTGGGGAACCCACAAGGAAGTGACACTTTTCGTTTCGCATCACAACCGGCTGCCAAAGGGGGCTGGGAAGGGGTTGCCACTTCCCCCATGGGACATAGAGCAAGAGACTGAGGGAGGGATGGAAGAGGAGGTCACGTACGCCGATCTGCGCTTGCCCCCCACACCAGGTAATGGCACACTGCTCCCTGCCCTGGGCACCCCAGCTCTCCCAACAGCTCCCCTGCCCTTCTGCAGCCCCTTGCCCTCTGCAGGGACCTTCTCTCAGCCCTGCTTCCCTGCTCCCTCCTTTCGGGTATCCTCTTCAGCCCTGTTTCACATGGCCTGCTCTTGGGGCAGGGGGCAGGAGGGCCTCAGGGGCAGAGGATGCCCACTGCACCCCACTGCCCCTCCACGTGCCAAGCGCTGTTTGCAGGGAGACAACTCCTAAGAGGGTCAAGGTGCTGTAAATGGGCTCTTCCTCAGTTTTCCTGGGCTCCCTCGCCACCTGCTGAGACCTTGCTCAGGGTTCATAGACATTTCCTGGCTGGGGTGGTCCCCACTGCTCCCACCAAGCCCCCAGGGCCCAGGTTAACTCCATCTCTCAGCTCCCCAGCAGCCGGTGCGGCTGCCCTGCTGCTGGGCAGCCCTCAGCCTGTGTCTCCTCTCCCTGGTGCTCCTGCTGACACAAATCATCCTTGTCGGCTTGTGCTTCCACTGTGAGTACCTGCTTGCGCCTGGACCTCTCCAGCTAGGGTCTTGGGGTTGGGGTTGTCACCATGGGGCTTGTGTGCCAACAGACAGAGCTGCAGCTTGCTCATGGGGCTGGGCTCTCCTGCCTGGGGCTGAGGGCATTGTGGGTTCTGGGGCAAGCAGAAAAATTGACGAGGCAAGACATCACCTGCCTGGCTGGGCAAGGAAGGTAGGAGGACAGTGTGGGCTCAGGGACGGTGCCCAGACATCCTGTTCCATCATGTGGCAATGAAATGACAGGAGGGAGAGTGATGACACTGAAACTGAAAGGCAGAAACACTTTCCCTTAAAGCCTGTTGTGTTGTGGGGTCCCAAACACAGCAAAAGCCACAAGGACCTTGTCAGGCTTGGCTGGCAGGTCACCTAAAGTGGGAGATGCCCTCAGCCATGGCCATGGGGCTATCCCATGGGAGAGAACACTGGGTGCTGCTGGAAGCAGGAGCCCAGGGTTGGCGGGGACACTTTTGTATTCTATAGATTTAGTGCAACAGGCGAGCTGCACCCGTGGTCCTGGGAGCATGGAGGAGAGCCTCAGCTGTGGGAAACAGACACTGGGAGGTAAGAGACCCCAACGGGCTCCTGGGTGAGCTTTGGAGAAGGACGGTCTGGCTGCTCCTTTAAAAGGCAGGATCTGTCCCTACTCCAGAACGTGGTCCCCTCCAAGCCTCCCTTCACCCTTGCTACCTGTCCCCTGGCTCATGGCAAGGAGAGCTGCCCCTGCGCTGCTGAGCAGGCTACACTGCTTGGACCCCCTTGGAAGAGATAACTCCAGCATGGCTCAGCATCACCTGGACACACCACCAGCACCAGGCTCTTGGCTGCCATGGCCATCCATGTGCCAAATGGCATCGGGCACTGTCTTTCAACCAGTCTCTGGTGAAGCTGAAATCTTGACTGCATTCCCGGCACTTTGCAAATGATGTTTGTATTGCACCCCCAAACCTGGAGGTCCCCTCCCTGACCCCCCTGCCTGGTCCCAGCAGCCCATCTCTCTGGGGCTCCTGCTGAGGAGCTTGGATGTGGGAGCTGGGCTCCAGAGAAGGGTCAAGTGGAGGGTCCTCTCTGTGGGAAGCCATAGGAGTACGCTGGGTTGGTTGGCACCCTGGCTGCCCCTTGTCACCCTCCTGTCCCCTGGGCTAGTGGCAGGACCTGTCAGCTGCCCTGTCCCAGCTGCTCATGCAGACTGTCTTTTGGGTGCACAGGCCAATGCCAGTTCTGCCCAGTCGGCTGGCTCTGGAATGCGGGACAGTGCTACTACTTCTCCTCCACCAAAAAGAGCTGGGAGCAGAGCAGAGAGGACTGCTGCTCCCGAGGGGCACAGCTAGTCACCATCCGAGCCAATGCCACCCTGGTGAGTGCACCCAGCCTGGCCTGTCCAGCTCCCCATGGGCATTGGACTGTGTTGGTGACAACCTCGAGGTTCCTCAGCAGTCACCCAGCCATCACCAGCATGGTCTCAGCTCCCTGGCTCTGGCCCACATGCCCAAAACCCAGCCAAGCCTCCAGGCAGGGAGCCATTGATGCTGTGCCTGTACCCTGCAGCATCTATCACTAATTGTGTGTCGGGCTGGGTGTCCCACTGAGAAGCTCATGCAGGTCTTCTCCTGTGCTAGGCTTTCCTGGTGCGCACAGCCAACATGGTCTTCCACGTGGGGCTGAAGCGGGACAGCTACAGGTCTGACTGGAAGTGGCTGGATGGCACTGCACTGAAGGGGTGAGGCTGTCAGCTTGACCCCAGCCAGGGCTGATGAGGGTCCAGCACTGGGGCTCAAGGAGGTGACAGGAGGACAAGCAGCTCACTAGCATGCAGGGATATACGCCATGTCTTGGCCAACTCTCTCTTCCCAGGACTGCATTGGAGCATTTTAGGGAAGGGACGATTGTAGAGGCTTGACCCCAGTGCCCACACCTTGCTTGGGTCAGGGGCTGGGGGGTGTCCCCCAAGAGAAGATTCCCAGCATGGCGCTTTGTTTGGTGAAGCTGGTGTTGAGCCTTGCCAGGAGAGACCTGGGAGTGCTGCCTGTGTGATCGGGCTGGGAGTGCTGCCTGTGTGATCGGGCTGGGGGTGCTGCCTGCATGGTGGGGTTGGGGGCTGCCTGCCAAACAGGTAGGGCTAGGGTGGGAGGGGATCAGAGCATGTGTTCACAGTGGGAGGACGAGCTTTGCCCTCAGAGCATCTCAGCAGCCTCTGGTCCCTGGCTGGAGGAGTTGCTCATGGGACAACCCCAGACCATCCTGCCCATCTAGTCACAGCCCTCTCTCTCCCTGCAGGGTCTTCCCAATCCAGCGCTTCAGCAGCTCCTTTGCGGCCTGTGGCAGGGGGTCAGGCTCACGGCTGTCTGCTGGTGTCTGCAGGGATGCCCTTGGCTGGGTCTGCGAGCAGAGTGCAGCCACCCTGCAGTGGCTCCGGTCCTCACCCCCCTCATTCCTCTGGGGAAACACCACCTACACCTCTGTGGGGCCCTGGTGACTGTGGGGACCTCCAGCCTATCTGTCCCACCACCCTGTTCCCTGCCCAGCAACAGCACGTGGGCATCTCGAGGCATCGCTGCCTCCTCACTCAGACCTTTTAACCCCTCTGGATCTCTACACTTTGTAATAAACTCTGGCACTTGGATGCTGTGGTTGGTTTTGGGGGATGAGGGTGATGGGATGGAGGTGCATCCTCCAGCTCACTGATTCAGTGGCATTGCTGCCTGGTGGGAAATGGAAGTTGCTGAAGGAAGTGGTTGGGAGCCAGCACCCAGCTGAGCATCCTGATGGTCTGGTGGGAGCATGGAGCAGCTCCCGTCCAGGCTGGAGCAGGTCCCACAAAGCTCTGGCCTTTCTGGTTGTGGTGGCTTCCCCCAGGGTTCATGATTCTTAGGAAAGGCTGCTGAGAGGTGACCCTCTGCTTCCACAGTCCCACAAAAGGCTTGGGCTGGGCAGCAGCTGCTCTCCTGGTGCCTACCCAGTCTGAGGAGGTCACAGCAAACATCCTCACTTTGCTTTGAGGCTGGGGGATGTGCGAGAGCCTAAAAAGCCTGCTGGGGCTTGGCTTGGAGGGGTTTGGTCCTGGGGGCTGTTATGGTTTTGATGTAGACCACCTGGGTTGTGCCAGCAGCATGTGGCTTCAGCATGGACATCCCTGGGAGTCCCTCCTGGCACGTGCAGAGGACCGAGC